ATATATATATATATATATTCAGTGTAAAATATTCAAATTTATTGCTGGTTTGTTCTGAAATATAAGCTCTTCAAAGCTTTCTTAACATATTTGAATTTTATTCAGCGTCTGAGTTTTGCAATAGCAAAAGAAAAGACACCAGGGGAATTGAAGAAAATGAGTAATCAGGTAATTACGATTATTTACTGAATAATCAACAATAGTAATTTCAGGTAAATTTTATATTAAAATCAATACTTTTTTTCAAACAGGAAATCGTGGAATGGCTTCAAAATTCTCAAACTGACGCTGGAAAGAAGTACCGTGAATTTCTTACCAGACACGGACACAGATGTTTAAAAGAAGTAAATGTCTCTGTTATTTAGTGCCTCTTAGTCTGCAGTGCCACCTACAAAATACCTGCTACACTAATTACTGCAATTTTTTTCCATCCAAATGTTTATTAATCATTTTATTACGAGTTCTAAAAGAAATATAAAATTGTGTAACGGTTGACCCACAAATGAGTGATGGATTTCGAAAAAAAAATGAAATAAAAGTGGAACGCGATAAAAATGCATAATTTGCTGCATTATGCGTGGGAAACCAGGCATTTCACTCCACCAAATTGCATATTTACTAAATTTTCCGCCAGTAGGTGGGGCTGCAGACATGTGAGTATTGTAAAGAAATTGTATCTGTGACATCCTCTAGTCGTTATTTAGCCACGCAGTCTGGCGCCACATATTGGCGAGAAATTTAACTAAATATGCAATTTGGTTGGATTAAAATAGCTCGTTTCTCCAGCATAATGCCTCACACCCAACATTTTTATCTCGTTTTTTTCTTATTTTATTGATCTTAAAAATTCATGAGACATTTTTGAGGACGCCCTGTAAATACTATATTAGATCTTGTAAATTTCACGTGATTACATCCGTTTCTTAATCATTGATAGAACCTGGAGTGCACAGAGTTATATTTAGTAACATATTTCTCTATAACTAAGAAAGATAATGAGAACTTATATTTACATCTACCTTAAAGAAGACAAGACCTCAATTAAGTTAAAAAATAAATTTTTTTAATATTAGAGTTTAAATGTTGATCAATTTCAAATGCTTTTAAAACCAGCTAACTCGGATTTTTTGATTTCCTGTTCCCTCTTTTGAGTAAAATACATGATATTTCATTACGTAAACCGTGCAATATTGATGAAGTATTTACATGCATACTATGTAATTTTCTGCGCATTCACAGGTATTTACAAAATAACAAAGGATGAAACAGAAATTTTTTTTAAATTTTTTTTTCTAAGCAATGTTTTTCTATTTTAATGTTTATTTTCAATTTAAACAAAAATTGCTAAGGTAGCAAAAAAATCTTTTTAAAATTTTTATCGCTTATACTTTTAACTACTTGCATCTATTCTTGATTTAATACATTTAATTTAATACCATTTGATTTTATACTACTACTTATCGTTGCGTGTTTCGATGAGTGGACTAAATATAAATGAAAAGTCTGAATACATTGTAAATTCAAATTTCATTTTGCTATCACTAGGTAAAAGTTTCTTTGAACAGCCTACAAGTTGACAGCTGTTGTATCGCTTTATAAAACTTAAAATTACAAAATGCTGTCGTAAACATGATGGTGGATATCACAAATAACATTTCTTTAAACAGCCTTTGAATAATCTTCAATATTTTAAAGTAATCTCAAATATTCTCAGTATTTAATCTCAATATTCTTTACCTTTTTTTCAGTTTGATATGCGGCAAAAAACTTGGGGAACTGATCCTACAACTCTCATACAGCTATTAAAGGTATGAAATGTTTCAGTCAGTAAACTTAAAATAGTCTCGTGTGAATCACATTTGAGCATTCTTAAATCCATCCCAAATTGTTAAAAAAAGGAGCAATGAAATTAACATTAAAACCAATTAATGATAATCTCGAAATCACCATTAAAGATAAAAATTTAAGTCAGCTCTCTTAAGTGGTTTCAGCTGATAAAAAAAAAAAAAATTGGTAGCAAAATTTGGAATGACTTCGAAACATACTTCTTAAACACTTTAACTCGATGCCCAGCTTTTTTATTTAAGTGTAGTACTTTTTCTTTTTCCATAATTTCTTTCTTGAACTGAATGGAATAGTTTTTCACGAACTCAGTCTTGTTTTGAATGGAATTAATGATTTCTAATGCCTTTCTTCCATTAATGCGTGTTCTGAATGGATTGAAATAATCAAACATTCAACGATTCTTATAGCTATTTTTCCACAGTTTTTTTTCTTGTTCTGAACGGTAGGGTTCATATAATTTTTGTTCTGTTCTAAATGGAATGAATTAACCGAGGCTTCACCGATTCTTAATGCTAGTTTTCCGCAGTTTTTTTGTTATTCAGAACAGTATATTTTTCTGTAATTTCTTTGGTGTTTTAAATGGAATGAAATAATCAAGCATTCAACGATTCTTAATGCTGGTTTTCTGGTATTTATTTCTTATTCAGAACGGAATGGTTTTCTAGAATTTCGTTCGTGTTCTCAACGGAAAGAAGTAATTAAATTTCAATCAAATGTTTCTTAATGCTAGTTTCCCATGTTTTTTTTCACCGAACAGAATAGTTTCCCCGATGTTCCAAGCGGAATGAAATAATCAAGCATCCAACATTCCATAAAGCCAGTTTTCGCAGTTTCTTGTACTCAACGGAATGACCTTTTTTAAAAGATCCTAATTAGATACAGCCAATTGCACCAATTATGCACTTGTATTAAATATGCATTTCATTTTGACCGTCAGTAATGTCAGAGATCGATTGCGAGGGTGCTTTATCATATTTAGTGCCCAGTATTAAGATTTAACTACTTTAACTAAGAGTTTTTATTTAAGGGGTATATCAAGACTATAATGAAATAGTAGTATTGATATACCCCTAAACAAACAACTTAAATCAAGACTTCTGTGAAAAGAAGAGCTTATATCAAAACTTTATTATGATAAATAATTAATAATCAGGTCCCTTTTATTTTTCAATTAATTTTGCATTGGGTGAGGGATTGATATTCTCATAAGTTAAAGCTTAAAATAGATGTTAGTTTCAAAACCTTAAAATACAGATCAGAGTGTTTGCACATCTAATACTTATTTATGCATTTTTTATTTACAGAATCTCGCCGGATCATCATCGAAAAAAGTAACAAATAAGAAAGAAGAGAATTTTAACAAAACATTGAAAGATTTGGGAATAAACGTCGGGCTCAAGACAAGGTAATCTATTTTAAAGAATACGAATAATTAAATTTCCGTTTGATTAAGTTGAATTTCTTTTCAGTTTTATAAGTAACTTGTGTCTAAAGAAACGTTTAAAGTAGTTTGCACTTTACTTCCAGACTAACTCTGAAATTCTTGATATCTCGAAGTCGAAAAGGAGTTCAGAATAGAGAAATGTCAAAGGTAAATTTTTTTTATGATTTCAGTAATATATATATATATATATATATATATATATAAGTTCAAAATGAAGAATAAAACAAAGAAAAATTATAGACATATGAAAAAAAGGGGGTGGGAAATAATAAATAAAAAATAACAAACAACAGTTTATTAAAAAAAAAATGTTAATTAAAAAACCGGAAAAAAAGCCGGAA